TCTACGTACCATTATTATACCTGTGAATATATTTAATATTCTATGTTAATATTTTTGTAAATAGTGCTTTGTTTTGTAGATAATAATTATTGTTATAAGGTATACTAATGCCCCTTTATTTTAGCTAAAGGAAACTGCTCTATATGTATGACCCGGAAAGTAACACACGCTCTACAATGCGGACACATGTGTCTTTGTGAGCCTTGCTCTGGTAGAATAAGTAGACTCTCTGACACCCGGAGGATTTGCCCTGTTTGCAGAGTTCCAGTTACGCAACCATCTTTAAAAATCTATATTAATTAATAAGTAAGTGTTAAGTTGCATTGTACTTACAAAAACGATGAAAGATTTCACGTGCACATAAAAATCGAGCTATGTGACGTTCCATACGTGTAAGTTAAAAGTTATTGTATTAAAATCTTTATAAAACTGTGTTAAGTGTAAAAACATACATTTTTCTAAAATAATAAAAAAAAATCTTAAATTTGGAAATACATTGTTTTAAGTTGCGTCGCACATCGTAAATAGTCACATATACTGTAATAATAATAATAATAATAATGTATATGTGTGTATCTGTATCAATAGTATGTAGTTTGTGAACTATTAAATAAAATCTTACCTTTTTCCTAAAACATTACAATTATTTACATCTAATAAAGTAAGTGATACAAAATACAATCGACACGAACCAATCAGATTCATGAATATGCGCTGTTGGTAATATCACAGTGCGAAAGAAAAAATGTCTTAATGCAATATGTCTTGTGTGATTATTATAAAGTTATTTTGTCTAAAATATGGAAAAGTATTGTAGTAGGCCCAGTTTATCATAAAATGTTGTCATCCCTATGTTCCTATACAGATTATTTTACTGTGAACTAATTTGATTAGCTGTAACTTGCTAATTTTTAACAAGTTGTAAATCGCATTTTTGTAGAATCTTGTAAACATTTAAAAAGAGTGTGATAACAAAGATAATGAGTAAAACTAATTAATTATCTGTTACTCTCTTTGTCAATCTTTTAGTAATATCATTATTAATACGAACTCCGATAGAATATAAAAATGGCTTGAAGATGGCTACTTCAGTTATGAGCTTGCTGCATCTGTTTGAACAGTATTTTGTAATAATTTCAAGTTTGATATGTTGCTGCGTTCAGTACATACATTCACATATGCTTACACTGACATACATATACGTGTTTTTCACTTGTGTGTAGAGCACATTTGAAGGTGTAGACCAATTTTTTGTTTTCGTGTAGAATAAAATTTGTGTCAAACTTTTCGTGTAGAATGTGCTGTGTAGAACTTTTGCTACCCCAAATTGGTTCTACACTTGTGCAAAATATAATTGTGGCAGTACACAGCAAAAAACCAATGTGTCCAATCATTTTATTTTAGTGCTGAACATTAATTGTTTACAACATGTTTTCTTAGCTTTGTGTAGAATATCCTGTGTAGAACTTTGGTTACTCCAACTTAGTTCTACACTTGTGTAGAATATAATTGTGCCACTACACAACGAAAAAAAAAAATGTGTCCAACTATTTTTTTTTGTGTTGAAAAATAATTGCTTACAACTTTTTATTGTAGTTTGGTGTAGAATGTACTGTGTAGACCTTTTGTTACCCTAAAACTTAGCTCTACACTTGTGTAGCAAACAATTGTGCAACTACACAGCAAAAAAAATTTGTGTGCAAACATTGTTTTATAGTGTTGAATAATAATTGTGTATAACTTTTTTGTGTAAGATGCTCTGTGTAGAGTTTTAAGGTGTAGGACTGGCCCCTTCTCTACGGCGTATGGTAGATATATTTTAACTTTTTAAAATTTCACGATTTACGGATACTTTTATTTTATCACATTTGTACTACACTGTCAACGGGAACACCTACGGTGTGTTACGTAAATATAAAATATACTTTAGGGTATAAGGGTCAAGACACCGACGCGCGAACTATATGAGTTTGCGTTTTTACTCTCCCGTTTTTTTTATTATTTGACGTTATAAATTTCATATACTTTCTTGTCCTTGCTTTATTAGTTGCTCTAATATATAAGTATACTTATACATATGTTGATACGTCTTGGACGACATTCTTGGGGCTTATTTGAGAACGGATATGTATTTCTGATTTTGACTTTTAAAACATCGACGAAAGGTTGGAGAGAAAAACCTGTCTTATTTTATTTTTTTGCTTCGATACAAAGCAACGTGTAACAAGTATAGTAGTGCATGTGTTTTTTTTTTTAATAGTGAAAGTATTAGGATCTAATCAATCGTTGTAGGTTATGTTCGTCCATTTATCAGTCATAGAGGCTAATTACATAAAGATAATACAAACGATAATAATATGTGTCATCGTTGATTACTGCCAGTGACCATATGGTTTTTTTTTATTTGCCATGTCAACAATGTAACTAATTTTACAATAATAGTAACAATTCGAAATTTACGTCACAAATGTTAATGTGTTGAAAAATTTTGCTTCCTCCAAAGGTTAATCGAACAGTTGTTGGAGGGAAACATTTCAAATCCAACAACCAGAGGTCTGGTGGAAAAACACTTGGATCAGGAGGTCTTGAGTGGCAATTTGGTAAAACTTTCTAGCGGAAATTATTCTCTTTCTGATTCATCAAAAGAGGGTGGTGAAACTGATTCCAAGAGCAAGCATTCGTCCAGTGATAGCAGTACAAACGGCTCACCTGTCAAAATGTATGACTTGGATGATAACACCATGGATCAAGATTCTAGATCTAATTCATTAAAGTCATCCAGACACGCTAGCCCCAAGACTGAAATGGATAAAATTAAAAACGGAAACTATCTTGATAGCATTGTTGGAAAGGATTTGATGACGGAAAATGACAGATATAAACAGTCTAATGGTGAGTGATTTCATTCATATTTTTAATAAAAATTCTTTCTAAGTTGTTTTTTACAATTGTATTTTCGATTTCATAGGTGATGGATATCGTAAGGAAGATACTGCTAGGCAAAACGGAAGAATGTCTAATGAAAAAAAGGAAGAAGCTAAAAATGTGGCTGTGCATCAATCTTACCACAAAAAATCCAAAGCTGAGAGAAAACAAAGGCTGTGTGTGAGGAGTGATGACTCCATGGATTTAATGTTTAATGATAAAGAAATAAATTACAAAGATGAAAACGATGAGAACGACAGAATGAGTGATGATGGGGAGTGCGATCAAGATGCTGGTAGAAGTTCAGCTAATGTATCTCCCACACCTTCTCAAACTAATGCTGGAAGTTTTCGTAGTGCTAGAAGAAAGGTAAATTATTAACCCTAAAGGCTTTGTTTTCTAAGTGTAAAAACTTTGATACATATTTGTCTATTTTTACATACAGAGAGCGAGAAAAGTATTTGATCCGTCAGACAATTTAATTGTAAAGAAAAAAAGAGGAAGGTATTCAAATGCTGTTAGAGCCGCAATGGCGAGCGCTCAACAACAAGAATTACAAGAAGCTGCCAAAGTAACAATTGTGAAAGAAAATACCAAGGGCTCTCACAGACAGTGCAACGAGTGTTCAAAAGAAACAGACGAAGCTCTGATGGCTTGTCGTGACTGTACAGTACGAGGTAAAAAAATGGAAATTAAAATGAAATTTTTACACAAAAAACTTTATTTTTCTCACTTTGCTCTTTTTTTATTATAGTCCATCCTTCATGTGTTTACACTCCAGAGGAAAAAGCTCTCAAAGCTCGCACGAGCTGGCAATGTGATAATTGCAAAAGCTGTGCAACTTGTTACGAAACTAAATTCAATGTAGGTATACTGGTGTTAAAATATAATTTTTATTAAAAAGATATCTTAAGGGTGATTGAATTTGAGCTTAATGCATTTTATTATTATTATTATAGGGTCCAATGGTAACTTGTTACAACTGTAACGACTCATATCATTATGGTTGTCATACACCAAGAGTAACTTCGTCAAAAAATAAATGGTTTTGTTGCAATTGCAATCCAAAACGGGAGAAGCCATTAAAAAGTTCGAACTCAAACTTGATAAAAAATAAAATAGAGCAGCAATTGAATAAAAATAGTAATAGTGTTCCAGTAATTGTAAAAACACGAGAATCGCCCGTAAAAAGTGTACCAGAAATTGTAGATGATGATGTGCAAAATGTTTCGATTAATGACCATGGCCCTCCAGTAGATCTAACTATACCCGATGTCACGGATTGGGATGAAGATCAAGTGTATCGCTATTTTGTAAGACTTTTTCCCAAGGATGCCGAAGTTTTTAGATCACAGGTATATTTTCTAATGTCAATGCATAACTGAAGTGGATTGTGAATAGTAAATTAATCTGATATTTTTGTTTTTAGCAAATCGATGGCATCGCTCTCAAGCTTTTAACAAAAAATGAAATATACAACCGTTTCACGTCAATAGTTTTTGGCACGAGGGTTAAAATTTGGATGCAAATTGTATACTTGCAAAAGCGAAGAATGTGGACAGGAGATATTTGGATGTAGAAGAGATTTATTTTTATGTACCTACTAAGAATTCCATCATGTTAACTTCATCTATTGAAATTTTATGAATAATTATATTCCATGAGCAAATTTCTTTTATTGTTATAAATACTCTTGAAATGACTGTGTACTATACTTGTATATATAGCATTAAGGAAAAACTTAGTTTTATGAAAATCAAGTTATTTAAAATTATTTTAACATTTCATTTCGTTTAATACGTTTACTGTTCTACAATTTTACATTATTACATTATAGTGCGTAAGAAATAAGTAGTCATTACAGAGTAAGGATAAGTTTGTGAAATAAACATTTTTCAACAGAATTTTTTGAATTTTTATTTCTAGTTACAACAAATTATAGCGCAACAACTTATTATAAAATTATCCATTCCAGTTCACAATTTGAACCAGTTTTCTAAACAGAAGTACAGCATAAGTGAAAAAAAAAAATGAAAATGTAATTACAGAATCACAATACACTTTATTTTGAAGTTGTAGATTTTTTAAGAAGATGTGGTTACAAGGAAAAAAATCAACGTAAATAATTTAAATTTTCCAACAATTAAAACTTTTCAACAATTGATATTTTTCGTTGTATCAACTTATTGCGTACGAAAAATTTCATGCCACTAAGATATAATCAGCCTGTGATAGACGCTTACAATGCACCCAGGAAATTTAGAATATTCCTTGGATTATAATTAAGACAAATACCCTTAGCGTAAATAATAGTACTCACATCAATATCATTAAATCGGCTTAATTATCCTGATATAATGAGACATTATACATATACATATTAGGAATATTTCTGTGGTACTCCCGTACTCGCAGTCCGCAGATACCAAAAAGTACATATATATACCTACAGGTACCTTGCTGAGATCAAAAAATGTTGTGGTGAGGACAATTTTTTATCAAATTAATAACTCGGAGTCGTTAAAGATACTGCTTATAACTTAACTGGACGTTCTAATTAAATTGAACATTGCAGCTGTAAAAACAATAACCGGACATAGTTACGTATTCATCTAATAAAAAATCCATATCATCAATCATGCAAATATATAGTAAATGTAGATGTAACAAAAATGACGATGCCAAAAAATCATCTAAAATCAAAGTAGCACCAGATTTAAAATAAATACAATAGCAAATTATTTTACCACGATACCGAGCTATCCTTGTCTTTTTATTGAACAATTGTCGAGGAAATATCACACGCGTAGGGGGATAGCTTCCAGATTGATTTTCTATTTCATGCCATATGAACGTGGCCAAGAAAGACAGACCAATAACCGAGAAACATATTTAATTCAGTGGGGACCAACGAAATTTTATATGAAATTTTTCTCGACATTTCCGCTGTAAATACGTCAAGGTCATGTTCGTAAATCGCAGGCATCACACTTGACACAACAATCAAGTAATGGATGACAAAATTTCTCGATATCCTTTTGCAAAGAAGAAAAATGAGTACCTACTTAAAAAGCTAAAAATGTGGCTGTGCATCAATCTTACCACAAAAAATCCAAAGCTGAGAGAAAACAAAGGCTGTGTGTGAGGAGTGATGACTCCATGGATTTAANTCATAGTCATGGAAAAATTATGATACATATGTATGCATTACTGCTGCTATTGCGTTTGGTTTTTCCCAAGTAAAATTTATTTAATATACGTAGTATTATTAAGTTTCACAGCCAAGTCTGACGTGGCCGAGAATAATCAAAACAATGATCCAAAAAGGAGCGACTGCCGTTTCTCACGTCCACGAAGACGCCGCAGCAAAAGGGGTATGCAATGCCGCAACATTATAGTCGTTACAATATCTGTACTTTTTTTTGCATCTTTATGATTATCATAGATTTAATTACATTTATATTTTACGAGGATATAGCTACTCTCTAATTTTTATCGTAATAATGGTTCAAGTCTTTATGTAAAGGTGTATTGGGGTCTGCAATTAGAGGGGCACGGTTTTCACATAGGAAAATGGCACCGACAAGATACTAATTATCATTATTGTATGCCTACATTTATATCTTTTGTCGGCGTCAAATATAGCTACACCACCAAACCGTACATTTAGTGCCTCCAATCGCCAATGCATTGTAATTTAAAATAATTTTATTAGTTTTGATTGACCGACACGTAATTTAATGTTAAGTACTTTTATTTTTTCAATCAATCAAAAATATATTAAGGTCGATTTCAAACAAAGTTTTGATTTAGCGATGGTTACTGATATTAATCAAAAATTGTACAAATCAGTTAATATTAAAATGCAAACCCGTTTTCGGCAAACATATCGGATTTAAACTTTTAAGCTGGAATCAGTTAAATTCACCACTTCATCATACTTGGGAGGTGGTTTTTTATGCAAAGGTGCCTCATCAGGCAAATATACCGTAATTTTGCTTGTAGGACTAGGATCGGTTAGAGTTACTTTTTCAATGTCGGTTGGTTTTTCTGGAGACAGACAAAGCCACAAGGCTGACAGTGCGGCTGTAGCGATTGCCAGTGCCAAAAGCCAACGTGGTATCCCTGTATGTCGTGAAGCACACTGTAGCCAATCTGATCCTGGCAAAGATGTTGATTTCTCATTTTCTTCCAAGTACTCGGATGGAGCGGTGTAGTCCATTGACTGCAAAATTGTTTAACTATAAGCTTTCGAAGCTTCCCCATGGATGTATAAAAAAAAAAAAATGTTTAAAATAAACATTATTTTATACCCCAGTATCGATCGGTATTGTTTTCAAGTATGTTTCCGGTAATTTCATTCCATTTTCATTCCACCAGACTGGCAACAATTCCTTACTCAATCCAAAATCAGTAAAGATATTATTATCTGGAGTGTCTTGTGGGAACAAAATATTTGGTTGAACATCTCCAAATTGAATTGCAATAGAAAATAAAGGTGTGAAACTGTCCAAGCGCTGGTCTGTCATGAGAGCACAGCCAGTCCTACATGCTACTAATTCCTGTAAATCTTGGTATGCCATAGTGCAGGCTACATTTTTCAAAAGACAATCAATAAAATGAGTGAATTATTCATCAAGTTCAATCAATTGCTTTTAAAATTCATAGAATCAATAACTTCAGAAAGAAATAGTATGCGGTGTAAGATTTTTTTTTTTTCATTCAAAAAAAGTTATCTACTTTATGTAAAAGTAGCAAAATAGTGTAGAGCTGTTTTATAGAACGATATACTTACACGAATCACATTGAGACAGACTATTGTTCGAACCGGGTGTCTCGAGTTCTTGACTCAAATTAATCAAGTTGTAAAATCGGCATCCCCTTTCGCAACAAGCCCTCATATACTTCAGCTCGGGATCAGCGTCTTTCTGTTGGCAAAAAAATCCTCATGACATACCTAAATACATTATACAATCGAGCGAAGAACCGATATTGTTGCGAGTAAAGTCAAGGGAAATAACTCGTACGTTTATCAAGGGCAGGGACGCTTCCTTGCACTTGCTCGCGCACGGATCCATTTGTTTGCCCATGAAAATATGCGGCGGTTGCAAAACTTCGGCGTTACACAAGTTGATGACAAAACCAGACAACATAAACAACAATAAAACTGGCGACAGCATCTCCCTGTTTCTTCCCATTTTTGGAGGTAGCTTATTAACTGTCAACTTCCGTGTGTTTATATACCCTTGTTGGCTTTTTCGTTTCCGTGATTGCAGAAAATAAGAGAGAATTTATGTATCATCTGAACAACTAAGAAGATATTTTCACACAGGAATGCAAAACTTCATCGGACACACGGTGTGTAGTACCTACAAGTACAACAAGGACTGAAGGGCGGTGGAATAGAGAGTATACCTACACGGCACACAGCGAATGCAAGTTGGAAGTTGCGATTTTGCGCAAAAATCCCTACATTTCTGCGTATATAGCAGCTTTCATTCGTGCACGTCCGCGCGAGTATATTGTAGATATGTATTGTTATTATTAGCAGCGCGATATATAACAATATAAGCCTTTACCCTCTTACTCGAAAAAGCGGAGAGTCGAGAATCGATTCTCCTATTTATAAAATTCCAACTGCTTTTCGAAAAGTTTTACAATACAACATTGTAAGCAATCAATAAACAGATGCAGGGGCTGTTGTTTGTTGATAAATTTTTCGTGAGCGATCGAAATTTTCGCGAACAAAGTCCAGTCGGCCCATGGAGCTCGGCGCTAAAAGTATAACAACAACAACAACAACAACAACAATACTATTTTTGAGCAAGTGAAGTTGAAAGCTCGTCCGCGTCGCGCGTCAGTCATACACCACACGCGCAATCATGAGCTGCTGCTCAGCTGGGAATTCGCGTCCGTGATTGCGGGATCCGCGAGAATGGCTGAGCCGGCGACTTAGGTTATAATAATATAAGCAGTAAGTTATACACTAAGGGAGTTTATATTGTGTCCCCCGCGTCGCGTTGTCGTCGTCGTCGTCGTCGTCTTGCGTGCGTGAGGGTATATTTATACCTACAACGTAGTGCACCACCGAAGATCGCGGTCGAGTGGCCTGTAAGAAAGCTTCGGGCTTCACGCGGAATATGGACATTTACGAGCCGGAGGACGAGGACGTGATCAACGAGGAGATACTCCGCGACCTCAACCCGATAACGTGGGATCAGAATTCCGACGTCTACGACTTCGACATCAATACCTTCTTCCACCGAGTCGATTCGGACCAGATCATCTACGAAGAGAAGAAAAAGTGCAAGTACATTGGCAAGTACGTCATGGGAGATCTGCTGGGGGAAGGCAGTTACGGCAAGGTCAAGGAGATGTTGGATTCGGAAACGCTCTGTCGTAGGGCTGTCAAAATTTTGAAGAAAAGAAAACTCAGGAGGATACCTAATGGCGAAATTAATGTACAAAGGTGAATTTCTATCACGCATAAGTAAACGTTAGCTATTGACAAGAAATTTTTACGTTTTTATCTTCGTTTCAGAGAAATTCAGCTTTTAAAAGTGTTGAAGCATAAAAATGTTATTGGACTCGTGGATGTGCTTTACAATGATGAAAAAGAGAAAATGTACATAATTATGGAGTTTTGTGTTGGTGGCCTTCAGGTAAATTTATTTAAACTTACTTTAAAAGTTTGGTCAGTGTGAATCTGAAAATATTAATTACCATTCCTCAGGACATGTTAGAAAGTACTCCACATAAAAAGTTTCCTATTTGGCAAGCGCATAACTACTTCTGTCAACTATTAGATGGTCTAGAATATCTTCATGGAAAAAGTATTGTTCATAAAGATATTAAGCCTGGAAATTTACTGTTGACATTGGATGGTACCTTAAAAATTAGTGACTTTGGTGTTGCAGAGGTAAACATACATACATGCAAAACAACAATTGACGTTATTAAAATGATCTAGAAATAAATGTATGTGATTAAATAATAAATTTTAGGCATTAGACTTGTTTGCTGAAGATGATACATGCACAACAGGTCAAGGCTCACCTGCTTTTCAACCTCCTGAAATAGCTAACGGCTGTGAATCTTTTTCTGGCTTTAAAGTAGATATATGGAGTAGTGGTGTTACATTGTTAGTATTACTTTCAGATAAAAATTTTTTTTTCTTAATCAAAAAATTTAATGTAAATATAATTTTTAGATACAATATAACTACTGGGGCTTATCCATTCGAAGGTGATAATATATATAAATTGTACGAAAATATTGGCAGTGGTGAATATACTATTCCATCTGAAGTAGATGATGTATTAAAATCACTTTTGGAAGGTATGCTACAGAAGGATATATCTGCAAGGTTTACACTGCAACAGATTAGGCATCATCCTTGGACACTGTGCGTACCTTCAAAGACCCTTGAATCAGTACCAATTCCACCTCTAAGAGGTGATGAGTTGCACACTATGACAGTCCTACCGTACCTTATGGAACATCATTATGGGGCAGAAAATAATCCGACGTATTATACAGAACGAGAACTCAATGGTAATGGTCTCTTTGTTTAATCTTTTCCATGTTTTTATATCACCTATATTTAGAAATTTTGCAATCCATACATTTTCTTTTATTTTATCATTTTATATTTTTTTCTGTGATTTTGCTTCTTTATTTAGCTCTGTACCTCTGTAAGTGTTAGGTCGCGTTCTCATACTCATTGCAATTTCACCTTTTCCGTATTTTTGTGAAATCGTCTCAAGAAGTCATTTTATTTTATTGGTAAGTTTTAAACAGTATTAAAAGATTAGAGTGTGAACTTTCGCAAATAACATTAACTACATAATTTTCCCTATTTCTGAGATTTTTGGGAATCAGTTGTTTGCTTAAAGTTTTATCTTGGTAAAAGAAAAAAAAAATAGAACTTTTTATATTTTGTATTGCAGATTTTGAACCAAAATCGAAAAGCGTTTGGTCTAAGAGTCTGATGGCATTCTTGTCAAAAACATGCTTCATTTTGTTATATCTATGTGCTCACCTCAATTTTGGATTATGGAGTAACTCACTTCGTATTATGTGTGGGTACCTGATATATAAAAAAGAAAAAAGAAAAAATAGTATAACTGATTCATTCCATTGACCGATTGATTGAAATGGTTTTAGATGCGTAATAAGAGAATTTAGCATTTCAAAAAATTGAATCTTGCAAGACTGGAACTTTAAAATTTATTTTTTCAATATTAAATATTTCATGTTCAATTATTTCATATTCACACAGATGGTTTTAAAAATTTAATAATTACTAATCGAGACTGCTAATGATTTTCGCAAATTTTTTCTATAGATAAGTGCAACATAAAATCGAGTCATAATTATGTGTGAACCAACAGTTTATATTTGAAAAACACTTTTTGCATTGTTCATTACCTTTTGCACTGCTAAGTTGAGATGGTATATTTTTCCCGCTTAGTTGACATAACATCTCTAGCATTGACTAAGCTATCACCTTTTTCTTTCCGGATTACAAGGTGCTCTGCCATGGAAATGAACTGTTAAACACCTTGCACCTTTGGCCAAACAACTTTTACCAAACAATATGCCTCATGGTGTGTGGCTGTTACTTTTTTTTTTATCCTCGTTATCTACCTTGCTTTGCAAATCATCACTAGCTCCGTGCTCTTTATAATTAACAATTTTTATAAATCTTTTGATGAATATGTTCGTTGTATTTAATTTTTGATAGTTTTTACAAGTTTCAAACAAATGAAAAATTGTTTTCTAGAAGAACGAAAGCTGCGTGAGATGGTAGAGGCACAAAACGAGGAGACAAATATAATTGAGCCTAGTCATCAACAGAATAAACCAAACGGTCGACAAAGTGGCAGTAGCAAATCGAGGTGGCGTAAGCAAATATCTTGCATGAGCGTGAGAAAATTTTCGTCCTGCAGGCCATCGTGATTATTTATCATACTTGTTAGTTTCTAAGAGACTTTATGCTAAAATTTCGCTGCCGCTGTCAGCTGTGAATAATTTCTCTGCATCGGAGATAATTTATATATGAAAGGCAAGATAAAGATGAAATTTTAGAGAGTGCTGAGTACTATCTAATATCTTTATGACTCGTTATTTTTTTGCAAATTTTAAAATCTTTGTATCATGCATAGATCATCATTTTAGATTTAATTCAAATGTTATCATATTATTATTATTTTTTTTTTTGACACTTGACTAGTATGTAGTTATGGTTGCTGAAATTAAAAACTTTAATTATATAATAGGTATTCAGCGCTCTTAAATGATTTCGTTGTATCTTAATTTTGCGGGAAAAACTTGGTAAGTTTTTGCGCAAAGCACAAGTGTTATTATTCTTATTAAATAAAAGTTTTTTGTTAAATCTCAGTATTATTAGAAGTTACAAAAAACAAAAGTGCTAAAAAAACGAAATTCGTGGAATGCGGTTACGAACCAAAAAATACGAAGAATGAATGAACCGCAAAAAGTTATATCACTTAATCCGATCTGAATACTATGTAAATTTACTGTCATTCATTTCATCCAAATTAATTGAAATATAAATAAATGCTATGTGATATCGATATTCTTAGTTTATGGTGAGGGAGCTTTGAACTTAAGTTAAATAATTTGTTGATTGAGAATGTTCTACGATGTGAATGAAATTGTAGATCAAAGTGTACATATGTTGTTAATCTACTGTACAAAAAAAAAGAGATAAAATTATTTGAGTTGGTTATGGTTTTTTGGTGTGCCATATTAATTAACGTTATTAGACTCAATAAATTCTTATCCCATTTTGAACTGCTTAATTTGCTATGACATTTATTCTGTAAAAGTTATGGTTTTTATAATTTTACTAATGAAAACTCTCCCATTTCTTCGGTAAGTGTCATAAAGTTTAATTTTTGACAAATTAACTTGAAAAATTTGTAATCGTAAAAAGTTAACAAATAATTGTATATAATATTCTTATTAGATTAATCAAATGTGATTGTATATAAAAAAAAAAAAATTTGACTAAATATATAATAAAAAAAAATATTCTTACTAATAGTTGAATATTCGACCCCTGAAACTCGATCTTTCGTATTAGTGCGGTACAATTATTAAAATAATTATTAAGTTTTTTCTAATTTAGACTACAGTACTTTAACAGTAAAATTATTTGGAATGGTCAAAGTTATAACAATATGTTAAGTTAAAAATTATTTTTATTAATAACTTGACCACAAACATTTATAAGTGAACAACCATTTTTTAATGGCGATGTAGTTAAGTATTACTAACGCAAATTATATTTTCAGTACAAAAGTGTAAAATTTTTATATGTATGGTAATTATCAGCTTAGTTAATGGGCCATGACTTGAATTACCGATACATAACTTTGTCTTTCTAAACATACCTGTCGACTTGAGACTTTTTTTATGTCATACAATATTTTGAGCATACAAAAAGTTTTGAATACACTTAAATTTAATTAGCTAACTAAACAAAGAATTCAATATTACACTTTATCTGACTTAAACATAAAGTCAAGTTCAAACAAAGTAAAGAGCATAAATGTACAAGATTCCAGAGATTCTCACATTTTGATCATGCTTTCCAAAAATTTGGATTTTGTTGCAGTCTTCTCTGAAAAGTCTCATACCAGCTTTGTATACTAGACAAAGGAACAAAGTTTTCTGTGGGATTTGGAGTCATTTGTGCCTGTGTCACAGAGAAACTTGATATATAATTTAGAAAATTGAGTATCGTTTTTTGAGCAAATTCCATAAACACATTCACGTTTGGTTCATCCATAAGGGCCATTTTCGGTTCGCTCATAAGTATTTGTTCTTGCTGTAATATAACAGTAAGAGGTTCTATTGAGATGCCTATTTGGGCATTATGTGAAATATTTCCAATGCCAAAACCTCCTAAATCATTGTTCACAAACTCATGGTTCTTCTTTAAATTTGAAATTTTAAATATAGCTGATGGCTTTGTTTTTGAAATGTGCCCCAAGAATTGCCAGTTTGGTGGTGCAATCGGATCTGGCCAACTAAAGTAAACTACAAAGTTTGAATACAGTTTGATTAAAAATACTTTGCAGAAAAAATTCAAAATAAACTTTTAAAATATTACAACAAACTTACCAGCACCACCTAATCCTTCTGGAAATGATGTTACTTCAGTGATGAAAATGACAATATGGTTAATATTGTCAGCATCAGGAATCGTGACAACAAATTTATTTTCTGCAATTGGTAAGAAATTTGTTTCCACCTGTAAATCACGAAATAAATTAAGTATTTACCAAAGCTACGAGTCAAACGAAAATATTTGCGAAATATTTGAATTTTTTTCAAACAAATACTTAATTTCTTCTTTTTTTTTTTAGCATAAAAAAACAATAAAACCAATTTACTAACGTTGACAACAACCAAAAAGAGCAATTACGTTGTTATTTTTTGTTAAATGTCAATTGATGGCAGTTTGTTGGAGGGTGTACCTACTTATTCCACATGACATGTGATACACGATAATGCCCCGCGACACATTGCCATTGGTTATTTAGCGGAACCGCGTTACCCTGTCGCATCATTTAGAACACCTAGGTACTTACGACCGGAATATTCTAGACTTTACGAAACCCGTGGAGCCGTGAACGCGACGTTTTTGTCAAAACTTTGAATGAACAAACGAGTCTCACGCGTTACCTCAACTAAAAATAAACAGTTGACTTACCTGGCGTCCCGAGACTATGATTCCCAGCATTTTTCAACAATTGCTCTTCGTATCTGTGAGCGAAAATAATAATTGATTCCCGTCAACAGACGACTGAGGTTCCGCGTGTTTACAAAGGTGTATACTCATGTATTATACAATGTATATCTATAGAGAGATCAGAGCATCAGAGTGCACATATTTTTTGCGCACATGTATATTTCTTTTTGCTTTGCGCTCTCCGCGCTCGTGTCTTGTCTGCGGCGTCAAAAGCAGAGTTCCTTGGATGAAGGGTTTTTTAACCTCTTGTGGAACAAATTCAACATTACGAATGTGTCAGCCGGTATTCCCATGCTTTACCTATGAAAGGTAGGTAAGTGTACCTATCTCCGTGCTCTGCCCTATTACCGTGGATTTTGAAAAACTGATGATTACTTGCTCAAAATAAGAAATGTTTCATATAAAATAATTTTTCAATTTTAATAATCTAAAATGACGTTAATGTAGATGCAATTCAAACAGAAATATTTGTGTATATTTTGAGTAAATAATTATTTTCCACGGTATTCGGTACAACGCGCTCATTAACTGATTGTGTACGTATTTCCGCGGTGAGCGTACGTAAACATAACCCTATAC